GTGGATGAAAGATGGAACATTGGTATCCATTTGGTAATTTGACCATGATTCATCTTCTGTTGACATCTTGAACTGCTTGTGATAGGTGATATATCTGCTGCAGGGGGTCCCAGCAAGGAAGGGTTCCGAGATGGAGGAACAACTGCAAGTGATGCTTCAGGTTGCTGTGGAAGACTTGGAGGGATCCTCTGTTGTTGTTTTGTCATTGAAGACTGTCGGAAGGATGATCAGTCGCTGGAGCAGAGTGGTGATGAAGAAGTTTTGTTCTGCACATTGTGTAATGCTGAGGTATACCACTTCTCATCTGCTTCTCTCTCTAGTTTACCCTGCATCTACAGTATATCTTTCTCCTACAACTACATCCAAATGTTCAGACTTTCATTGGGTATAGTGGAGAGCATGAATAAGGTATTTTTTCCCTTATGCAGGTTCGAAAGTTCAGCAAACACTGTAGAAGTTGTGACAAATGTGTTGATGGATTTGATCATCACTGCCGTGTGAGTTCAAATATGTGTTTTCTTCTTGTTTAGTTTTCTGTTGCTCAAAATACATTGTGTTTTACTTTGACATGACATAATTATTTTAATTGGAGGAATGAGCTGAATCTGATAACCCATTTGAGGAATTCAAAATAAGGGTATATTCGGATAATATATATTATACTCCATGCTGTTAATATTGTACACCAGTTCATATCCTCCTCTTGCAGTATTGTGAATTTATGTCATTTTGGATGTGTACTTTTTACAGTGGTTGAATAATTGCGTGGGAAGGAAAAACTATATCACATTTGTGTGCCTGATGGCTTTCAGCTTTGTCTGGGTAAGTCACACTAAGATTCTTTCATTTCATCTCTTCTTTAATGTTTGACAAGGCATAATCATTTCTTTACCTTTTTAATATAAAATGCTCCTTTCATGTCAGCTTGTCTTTGAATGCGGAGTGGGCATTGCAGTCCTAGTTAGATGCTTTGTCGATAAGAAAGCTACTGAAAATCAGATAATAGAGAGGCTCGGAGAAGGATTCTCTAGACCTCCATTTGCTATTGTAGTGGTATGTAAGCTAGCTTGTTGCTTGCAGAACTATTCTGATTGTTTGTGTAGTATATGGATTTACTGCATTTTCTAATCTGTCTTTGTTAGACCTTGATTTATTGTGGGAGTTGTATCTTATACTGATCTAGTTATTAGAATCTTTAGATGCGTAATCCACTATGGTAAATTCATAAGTCTTAGGCTGGTTGAAGAATTTTTCTGAAGGAAAGATATAATAACTCTTATGTATCAAAGCCTTGACACAGCCCGTAAATTTGAAGGTGTGCCAAATCATAGTGCCAGAATCACCATATATATGACATTTAGTGCTGCTTGGAACTTGTTCCCATTGTTGCAGTCTTGTAACATTTTTTTTCTGCTTTTTCTGTGAAATGGTAAGTGTATTATAAGCATTGCAAAGAGATTCTGTAAAAGTATTTACAGTCAAAAGCAGAATTATGTCCCTTCTATTCTTTTTTTTTTGACAAAGGTAACAGAATTATGTCCCTTCTATTCTTTTTTTTTTGACAACGGTAACAGAATTATGTCCCTTCTATTCTTAAAAGGGATTCTATCAACTAAATAAAACAGTTCATCTTGATCATTAAGATAGAGTTTCCTTTATCTTCAAAGCACCTCTCGTACCTTTCCTCTAAACAGTCCACCAAATGCACACAGGGATTGTGCACCACAATTTTGTCTGTTTCTTGCAACTCCCCTAATATACCAGCTGTTTAGCAGCTCTCCAATATCTCTAGGATGCACCATTTTAGTCCACCATGTTAAAAAACAATTGCCATAATTGATCAGTGACGGACCAATGCAGAGGCAAATGATTCACTCTTTCTGGCATATTTCTCACAGAAAACATCCAGAACATAAATGGAATCCTCTTCTTTGTACGTTCTGATGTGTTAAGCAAGTATTTTGAGCCACCAACCATGAAAACACATCACCTTATAAGGAGCATTTCTCTTCCAACTCTGTCTCCAAGTCCAGAAAGCATTTTGTATGACCCTAGAGTTCATATTATCACATCATGATTTTACAGTGAAAATCATAGTCCCGATCAGTAAAAAATGAGCAAATATGCCCAATTTCCAATCATTCAGATTCCTCCTAATTGAAATCTAAACTTGCTTCTTGCATTAAGGCATGTAGAGATCTGGGAACTGTTCTTTGAGAGGAACATGGCCAATCCAGAAGGAAACTTTTCTACCATCACCAATTTAAAACCCAATATTGCACACAAATTGCAGCCTCAGGTTCCTTATGTTCTTCATAAGTTAACCCCTTAGGAAATGGTAACTTTTTTAGTAATATGATCCTTTGCTTCCATACTTTTCACAAATCACATCTTTCCGCAAAGGTTGTTCTTCTGAAATGGATTTCCAGAGCCGTTTCATCATCAAGCTGTTGTTATGATGTGTCAAATTTCTGATGCCTAAAAGCTTTCCTTTTTGTTTGTTGTTGTGGACCACCACTTCACTAAATGAAATGCCCTTTTTTCCTTGTTCTCTTTCATTCTTAGGTGCCTTTTCTTGTTCTCTTTGGGTTTAATCTTTTGTTTTCTTCTCTGTTTCAGGCCTTATGTACTGCTGTTTCACTCCTTGCAACTGTGCCTTTAGGTGAATTGTTCTTCTTCCACATTATTCTCATTCGTAAGGTATGTTCGTTCATAGCCTCATTCCTTCTCGGTTTTAAATTTGTGTATGTGCGTGCTTATATATAAAACGTATTCTGGTTCTGCTGTAATGCTGTATTACAGGGTATTACAACATATGAGTATGTTGTTGCAATGAGATCTCAAAGTGAGCCGCCTGGACCCTCTGTAGATGGAGGTGATCAGCAGAGTTTGCCATCATCACCGACCAGCTCTGCAGTGACTGCCATCAGTGGAAGAAGTTCTGTTGGGATGAGCTTGCAACATAAAGGTGCTTGGTGTACTCCTCCAAGAATCTTCATGGATCATCAGGTTACACTTCTTTCGTGCTTCTAGTTTTGTGAAGTTGATGAAGAAAGTTCTCCCTCTTTTTCTGTGGGTGGAGGATATAGGAATGGGAGGAGAATGAGTTCTGGATGAGTTTTGACTTGAGCAACTAAGCTCATCCCTTGTCCTCGAGAAAAACTGTCAAATTATAGAACTGCGTATTGCTAATTTCATTCCTCTAACCACCTTGTGCAGGACGAAATTATTCCTCATCTTCAGCCTGGGCGACTGCCATCTACTGTTGATCCTGATGCACTAGACAAGGACAAAAAGGCATCCCACCGTCCAGTCCGAATTAGTGCATGGAAGCTTGCGAAACTAGATTCTAGTGAAGCAATCAAAGCTGGTGCCAAGGCTAGAGCTTCATCATCTGTGCTACGCCCAGTTGGTGCCAAGCACAATCCATACGACGCTGATCATTTGTCCAGTGGCATGAGTGGTATAAGCAGTCCGGCAAGTACTAATCAAGGATTTTATGACAGTAATGCTAGAGCTGGGACATCAAGGTTGTCTCCTTCCAAGAGCTCATATCCGCCCAGTCGAGCCAGCAGAGAAGACATTGAAACATGTGGCCACAGCATGAGTAACTTAAGCAGTCCTCTTGCCCCTAACCGAACTCCATCTCCATTAGCACTGCAGCATCATCACCCTTCAAATAGAGACCACTTTAACCCAATATATCAGTCATCTGCAAATCAATCTCCGTGGTCAGCAAAAGCATGCCATGAGAACGAATCTCCTCCTCCTGATAATCTCTCAGAGGCATCCACTAAGAAGAACAATATGGGCATTCCAGAGAGTACAAGGTCATCGGTTTTCTGGGATCAAGAAGCCGGGCGATTTGTTACTGCTAATACTAACAGGGGTGCTGGTTCTACTTCACAAGTTTCTGGAACAGAGCTTACATACACAGGTCAATCTATATTTTTCGGAGGGCCTTTACTGAACGAGAACATGAACAGAGGGGCAAGAAGTAGCGGTACACCGTTTGCTGGTGGTCCACAGCGGAGTTACTATCAGGGTAGAACACAAAGGGGTGGTCAGCTCCCTGTATTTGTTCCTAGTGATTCCCAGCAAAATCAATTTTCTTCACGATAGTATTGTATTTGCTCCACTTGTTTTATCTTGAGATATACAGTTCGTTGTACATTTTCGTCTTCTCAAGTTATTGCTTCTACTTTCTGAACTGAGTACATTCTCCATCTTTCTTTCACAACAACATACCTGTATAATCTCAAAAAGAGTGGTCTGGAGCGTATAGAATGTACAGTGTTTCAAAGCACCACAACAACGTGCAAGTGTTATGATTGCCAATCAAGATATCTTTCTTTTTATGGCGAGTGTGGCATTGCAGACCTTATCCCTACTTCAGAGTTGGAGAGGTTATTTACTATAAATCCTTGGCTCACAGATTTAATCTTTCTTTCACGACTGTGCTAGTCGATAGGCTTATTAGCAATAAGATGAAATTGCAAGAAGAGAAATGTGTATGATCAGTGGTAGATGGAGAGTATGATTAACAGCTCCAATTGAACCACATAGCATGATAGATAGATATAATATATATGTGAATGATCATTAACCTTTTTGGACTTTATGGTGCCATATTTATCCATGACGTTATCAAAGTGGCTCAAAATTGTCTTTGTGGACTTTTTTTTTTCTTCTAAAAAAAATATTTTTAATTAGCATTTTAGCTCAAATTTATATAGAGTATTACTCGTCCTAATTAAAACTACTATTCTGTTATTTACTTTCCTTTTTATATTCATAACGTCGTTAAATCAAATCAGAGTAACTAAAATTACTTTGTTTAATTCCTTTATCCAAACTAAAGAGAAAATGAAAGAGGATATTGTTGTAAAGGAAATGACTGTCTGGCCCCTTAACTCCTTCAACGGCCTCGGTTTGGATAGAGAGCCAATCAAGAATGACAGAATAGTATACTGCTAAACTTGTTGAAAATCCTTCAAGACATGGCAGCTACACTGAGCATTCAAGGATCATGCATCATCAGAAATTCCTCCAATGCCCAGACTGAGCAGCAGGTAAAGAAGGTCTTTTTACAGATACCCATTTCAAGAAGATCTGTTATTCTCATCTCTGTGTTGCCCCTTAGCCTCAATTTGGTTCCTCAACCATCCATGGCTAGAGAGAGGCGCAATAAGAAGAACATCCCTCTTGAAGACTATCAAACTACTTGTTAGTACCTCTTTCCCAATTCATTATTACTTTTAACTTTTTTGATTCCAAAATCTTAGAAATACCTTCACATTGGGTGCAATTTCCAAGTTCTGCTATGGATAGTCTTAAAAGTTACTTACAACTTTTACCATTAGTCATGCTGCCTCCTATGTTTCAATTTGTTTGTCTTTCTTTTCAAAAAGAATGCGTCTTTAATTACTTTTTTGTGTGGTTCAACTTTTCACGTGACATGTTTAAGACTGTAAGATTAAAGTATATTTTGGTACATTCTTGGTATCTTTAGTTTAAGACTATAAGATTCAAAAGTCTTATTTAGTTTCTTACTCTGTGCCAAGTCAAAACAAAGGAGTACAAAATATGGTCACTGGTGCTAACTTATGCTTATACGATTAGCTTCTAAGTAGTGCTGGAAAAAATAATTTGTTTACTTAACAGCAAGTACTTAAGATTAATTGTCAACAGTTTGAGTTTGATGTTGTTGAGTTCCCACATTGGGTGACATGCGGAGCTTTGCTCTCCTTGTATAGGTTGGAAAATCCTTACTCGTGAGCTGATTTTTGGGATTGAGTTAGGTCCAAGATCCATTTCTTATAATGTTATTACCAATGCTCATGGTTTATCTGAAGTTGGGCTTTCATTTTATATGTCCACGCTCTGATGCCAGTATTGGGCATGTGAGGGGTGTTGAGTTCCCACATCGGGTGGGATGTGGAACTATGGTCTCCTTATATGATCTTTGATCAATCCTCACCTCATGGCTAGCTTTTGGAATTGTAGGTCCAAGGTCCATTTAGCATCAACATAATTCTTATATCTCATCCAAAGATTTGTTGACAATCTTTAAGGACTGGAAATATAATCAAATTAAATCGAATTAATGTTGTAGTTGATATATGTAATAACCCGATTGTCAATTGAAAGAGCCTGACGATATCATGGATATGAGTCCATGATTATTATCTTTATTAATGATTGCTTTTAAAGCAGCTGATGGATTGAAATACTATGATATTCTTGAAGGAAAAGGTCCTGTAGCTGAGAAGGGCTCCACTGTACAGGTTTAGTTGTCCTTCTTGAAATTTGCATACACGTCGATTTCCAGTTCAGACTGACCTATTTCTGGCTTCTCTCCTGACTCCTGTAGGTACATTTTGACTGTGTATATCGTAATATTACTGCAGTTTCAAGTCGAGAATCTAAACTGTTGGCTGGAAATCGTATCATTTCACAGGTCTGTTGTGATGACTTCTGATTAGAAATGAGTATGCTATAATTAAATTGACATCTTACTAATAGACATGTATTGCTGCCCTTGGATTACATTTATTACTGATACATATGTCTTTCTACTCTTAAGTAGCCTTACGAGTTCCAGGTTGGAGCTCCTCCAGGGAAAGAGCGGAAACGTGATTTTGTGGACAATCCAAATGGTTTATTTTCTGCTCAAGCAGCACCAAAACCTCCAAAAGCAATGTATACAATAACTGAAGGGATGAAAGTTGGAGGAAAGGTGTGATGACATTTCATTTGTGCCTAAAACGTCTTTTTCTTTGCTAATAGTTTCTTTGTGCAAACTCTAATCTCTGAAAAGTTAAGCAAAGTGTAACATAACTGACAGCTACCTCATTACTTGCTGCTTGTTTTATGGTATCTTTTGCTCAGAGGACTGTGATCGTTCCTCCAGAAGCTGGATATGGTTCAAGGGGAATGAATGAGATTCCGGTATGAACCTCACTTTGTTTCATTCTTTGTCATCTTAGTTGACGAAGTTATTATTGTGGTTTGCTTCTTTTCAAAGAAATGTCAATCAACCAAGGTCGATGAATTCACTGTATCTGTTAAATTACATTTGGTTAGAAGTGAGTTTCTCTTGAGAGTAGCTTGTGCTCAAACGACTTCGCGATCCTAGTATCTATTCCAAGGCCTAACAACATTGTTGCTTGCTTGCTTAGTAATTAGTTATGCAAGGTTCTTGAAATGACCAATTATAATATATAGCCGTTAGAGAAAACTTATCGATGCATATTACGTGTGAGTGGTTGTTTTCAGCTCCACTCACCAAACTGTGAAAAACAAAGCTATCTGCAGATTAAACAGCACTTATACTAGGAGTTCTTGGGTGAAGATGCACAGATATGTTATTCGATTTTATTGGTGTGCTTCTATTATCTTCAACTCTTTTTGGTTTCGAGATTTAATGAATATTCAACTTACATGGTGCAGCCAGGGGCTACATTCAACCTGAATATTGAACTACTGGAAGTAAAGTCACCAGAACGGAAGCAATAGGCGCCTGGACTGTACCATATGTTTTACCCCCCCCTCTTCTTCATTGTTGTAAAAGTTTTGTGTTCACTCATAAACGCCAACTGCTATGGACTCAATAGCAGTTCCCACTTAACCTTCGCGTGATTTGAACCACGACTCATTGGTTAAAAGAGACGATGCCTCGCCAACAGTGCCAGCTCCTCTCATGAACATATCTCATGATGTTTTGCTTCCCCTTCATGTTAACTGTTCAATCTTTGTTATGTAGATGGCTTCCCCTTTTTTCATGCTTCTTCATTTGTATGTAAATTTTTACTTCTTTAACTTCCCATGTTACTTGTTACTACATTTTAGATAGACATCACACTATCTCAAACCATGTTGTGTCGGATGAAGAATTGAAATAATATTTTTTTTTTCGTATGTTATTTTATTTATTATGATGATATGAGCTTAAGTGACGAAACTATGATTTACGTTTTTGTTGTCTCGTATATCATTTTATACCAAGCAACTTCATGAACAATACAAATGCTTATTCTCTCCAACTTTGATCACAAGTTTTACTCATAAATGAATTTTTAAAAGTTGGCATATTAAGAAGAATTTTTCAGGGTAGTTATATTACTTCCCTTTTCTCATTTTGATAGAGTTAATATACATTTATCTTGTCTCAATATCAAATTAATTAAAATCAATTTATAAACTATTTGCGTAAAGTATGCTCATACATTTATCCTAATTTAAATCAATTAGTATTACTTGTTGTACTTATTCTTATTTTATTGATTTAAAAAAAAAAATACATAAATCTTACTCTTAACTTAAAGATAAAAATAATTGTTTTCAAGTAATATATAGAAGGTTTTTCTTTAAAATAAAAAAAGTTAAATGGATGAAAAGTAAGGAAATGGAAGTACAGGGTAAAAATGAAATGCTAAGTATTAGTAGGAGGGCTTTATATTTTAGGCAGATCGGTCTCACTTCTTTCTCAGTAGACAGTAGCGTTCAACTCCGACGATGGTCTCCTTCTCCATTTGATATTTCCCCGATCTGATAGCCGGAGTAGTATAACGGATAAAGCTAAAAGGAAGAATCGGAAAATGACGATTCGTTTCTATTTGTTGTTTTCGTTTTTCGTTTTACTTGCTCAATGGTCGCCTGCACTTTCCGATCTAGTCATCTCCAAACTTGATCGAAAGGTACGTACGTCTCTGATTGGTGTTCAATTTGGTTTTGCTTCGTTAATGTATAAATGTGCTACTCTCTTCCCTATGATATTAAGGCTAATTGGATTATATGATAAGATCTAGTCGTTGGTAGTGCAACATTTTGGGAGAATTTGCTAAATATTTTGGTTTGCAAACCTTTGTTGATACCTGCTGCTGGTGGAAGGTGGCAGGTATCCGTGGAATTAGTTGAGGTAAATAAAACTGGCAAATGTTGTAAGAGGAATTATATAGTCAATTAATCTCAACACAAGTGCTATTTTTTGCTTTCCCTTGCATTGGCAACAAAGGGAGCTGACACTTTTCTTCAAAAAAATGCGCTTTTTTGGGATTGGCAAACTTGAAGTGTTTAATTGTTTTGCATGCTATTATAACTTATAGTGCTCTAACAGTGTGTAATTTGACGCGGATCCCCTTTTACTTTTTCTTTTCTTTGTGTTTGTTCTCAAGCTCAGAGCAAGTTGAATGAGACATAGAATGTGAGGTCATAGTAGAGTAATGATAATCTTCACCCTTTTGTTGTGTAATTATTTTAATGATGCAGGAGCACAGTTTGATAATATTTTTGATTGTCATGGTTTCCACTTGGATTAGCAGTCATTTCACATCTTCGTGTCGTTTGAAAAAGAAAAACTGAGCTGTTAATTAGACTATTGGTTCTAAATTGCAATTATTCATTCATACATGCTTACTTCTGGCTGTCATGTATCTTGTATTGCAGATTGACCTAACCTCTCAAGTAGTGCGTGTGACTGCAAATTTGAAGGTTAGTGGTAATTGCTTGCGTTTTTTGAGATTCTGGACAAGCTTGTTGAATATTCCAAACTACAGATAACGGATTTAATAGTCTATTTACTTTAACCGAGAAGCAGTTAATGTATTTGAGAATTTGCAAAATTTAATGACTTAGTGCTACTATTTAACTAGTGATGCTTGTATTATTTCTTATTTGTTTGGTCAGATAGAAAACACTGGTAATGATCCAATTTCAGAGGTTTTGTTACCATTTGGAGATCACCAGGCAAAAGATTTAGCATATTTAGTGGCAACAACCAGTGAAGGAAAAGGGAAAACTAAAACTTCTTCCAGTAGCCTACCTATCAAAGTTGTTAACCCTGAAGGCATGCCACCATCATTGACTTGGTACTCTGTTTCCCTACCGAAGGAGCTGGCAAAGGGGCAGAGCCTGAATTTGGAAGTCAGGACTGCATTTACGCATGCACTACAGCCATTTCCTGAGAAAATTACTCAAGCTGATATCCAGCTTCTTGTGTTCCAGGAGAGTGCCTACTATATTTCTCCTTATGCAGTTAATGTCCAATCTCTCAGTGTCAAATTACCCGAACCAAAAGTCGAATCATACACTAAGTTAGAGAACACCAAATTTTCTGGTTCAGAAATTAAATATGGACCTTATGAGAATCTTCCTCCTTTCTCATTCTCGCATATAGCAGTACACTTCGTGAGCAATAAGCCATTCGCAGTTGCCCAGGAGTTAGTGCGAGAGATTGAAGTCTCACATTGGGGAAATGTTCAGATCACAGAGCATTACAACCTTGTCAATGCTGGTGCCAGAAGCAGTGGGGAGTTTTCAAGGTACTATAATATTTTCTGATTAAGTTCAAGAATTATTAAGCTGTGGTTATATTTGACCAGGAAGTCTCCCACTTTTAACATCACAGGCTAGAGTACCAGGCCCGACCACATCTCAGAGGTGCATCGTCATTCGGACATCTTGTTGCCAAATTGCCTCCAAGAGCCCATTCCATTTATTACAGAGATGAAATTGGCAATATATCAACATCCAATTTATGGGGTGACTCATCAAAGGTTAGAAGACATACTTTCTGAAGCTTTCATGTGGCTTGTGTCTAGCTTAACACTATGCTCTCTGTTCGCAGACATTGCTACAAATTGAACCTAGGTATCCAATGTTTGGTGGCTGGAAAACTTCTTTTACCATCGGCTATGGGCTGCCCCTTAAGGACTATTTGTTCCGTGCAGAGGGGAAACGTTTCTTAAATATATCTTTTGGTTGCCCAATTGAGGAGGTGGTAGTTGAAAACCTTGTTGTGAAGGTAATACTTCTATAAGAACTGAATAGTCTTTAATTCCATATCTTTAATGATGTAATTTAGTGTTATCACAAGAATCTAAATATGATTTCTTTCGAAGATTTTGATAAATTTCATGCAAAAGAGGGCTTATGGTATAGTGTGATTGTATGGGCCTTTAATTTTTTTTTTCTTGAAAAATTCTTCAAGATAACGATGGAATTGTTTTGTGGAGAACAGGTTGTTCTGCCAGAAGGTTCAAAGGATATTTCTGTCTCGGTCCCTTTTCCTGTCAAAGAGTCAAGAGAGGTATGAGTAAATCTTAGTTTGTCTCCTCTGAAGTTCCTCTTGTATGATAACCTTTATTCCTCTAACTTTCTATTACTTCTTATGTTTTATTTGCAGATGAAATTTTCCCATTTGGATATGATTGGTAGACCAGTGGTTGTTCTTGAAAAGACCAATGCTGTGCATGAGCATAACCAATATTTCCAGGTATATAAGTTCATCTACAATGCTGTTGAAAGAACTGTATGTGAGAAGCATTGCATACGATCCTAGCTAAGCCAAGTCCATTTTGGGCATGAGTTAACCGGGCGTAGGTAGAATAGTTCAGTTTTGACAGAGCCTCAAATATAAGGATTAGACTTGGTTCAATCTGAAAGGTTGAATGGTGGAATTTGAGCCGAATCTGAGCTAGATCATCCAGAGAAACCTTTTGGATCTAAGATTCAACATTTTAGTTGAACGAGAGAGAGTAAAGAGTTCAGTACTAAAGGAGGATGACTACCCGCCCCCCCCCCCCCAAAAAAAAAAGAAAAAAGAAAAAAACTGGGGGAGAAAAGGGAAGAAGAGAGACTAGAAAGAAAATTACAGTAGTGATCTTACTGACGGTAAGATCTCCAGGCAAAATCTTGGCTGTTGGTCTATTATACAAGAACAAACTAATTACAATGGGGTACAGACATGGGTGGAATATCCTCTATGAAATGGAGATTTTACATATCAGACTGTAGGCTTTAAATGGTGTGTCATATCATATCCAGTCAAAACAAGCATTTCAGCATATGTTTGCTTGCATCTGGCTTATTCACATGCTACCCTATGCATATTTGTACTGGATCAAGTTATTTAGGACAAATATTATCATCCTCCAGAAGAAAGAATGATGGAATTTTTAAATAAGAACCACTTGTAGCTGTGCTTTTGTGACCAAGCGAAATTGTAATACTCGTATTGCAACTTATCTCGTTGAACTCAGAGCATAAGACAAGATCCCATTGCATCATATCCCTAATATCAACTATGATATGTAACCTATCAATTTGATAGGCATATACTCACAATGATGTAACATGTTGGAGAGTATCAATATAAGTTAAAATTATTTAATTAAGCCTTACATCTTTCACTCTGATTTAAGTTTGGGCTAATTGGTTATTAGAAGAACAATTGTGTTGATTAAGTTTCCTTACTCTATCTATTTTGGTCAATAAGAAAGCCCAGTACGTCTTAGCTGAGCCAACTCATGACTTCAAGATCTCTTCTTTGTTACTCTACCTTTATGACGGAAAGTTCAGGTGTCTGCTTGGGGGGTTTAATGCCTGAAGGAAGTCTTCAGAAATCAAATAAGAACAATGATTGTCTCCTTTAAAGGGGATAAGGCTTGTTGAATCATGAATGTGTTTGGGATCTTGTCAGGGTCTCCATGCTTCTTTCATTTCCTTTCCTTTTTGTGGTTTTCTTAAGGGATTGGGAATAATTAATGCTTGTCTCACCATTCTGAGGTTTCATTGACATCCATTATATAGATTTAGAGTTCAATTGCCATGCAGAAAGTTCCTGTCCTGATCTGGGAAAACAAATCTTTTCCTTCTTGCTATCTTCTTTTCAGCCACTGGATGGGCAATACCACACATTACATCAATTCTTCTCCTTTTTCTATCTCACTTTTGGCTCTCTTTTTATGTTAAGACTTTCTGGTTCACTTATGATGGCCGCTCTATCTGGGAATTACAATTCTTAAAAATCTGATCATGTGATATA